CAGTCGGCTCCGTGTTGGTCTGAGCTCCGGGGCCTATTTCCCAAGCAGGAACAGGGCCAGGCCCGCGATTTACATCGGTGCGGCCCCTGTATCGTTCACGGGCCTACAGTGCCTTAGAGTGCATTCTGTGTCAACAAGGGGGCCTCGAACCAGTCAGTGGAAGATTTGTTCAACAGGGGCGGGGACGGAAGCCCGGATGACAGAGGGTCTCCTGCGTTGGTCGGGCTATTGGGCAATTGAAGGGAAACAAAAAACTTATGATGAGTGCTCCCATTGAGGCAATAGAAGAATCCTGCTACCAGTCAGGGCCCCCAGTACCGAACGGTGGGACTCTCAAACTCTTTTCCAGCATGGGCCCGGTTAAGCCCAACTGAAGTACATGTGCTAATTATTTGACCATCTGCGGTTGAGCAGGGATGTTGTTGCGTTAATAACGGTGATGGGCTGATTCGGGGCCAACTGCGCAGGTCAGAAGACCTCCTGCGTCAGGGAGCGGACCGATGTGATGTGCTGTATCCTTAAGGGGCCTCCGGATCGGCAGGGGCCGCCTCATGCTCCCAGGAATGTCGGCCAGAAAACACACACCGCAGGGGGCATGAGGTCGCACCTTCAGCTCCTCACCGGGACACAATAATGTGCCCGTAGTGTTGTATTCAATGATGGCCCTGTACCCGGAAAGAACTGAGGGGTCTCATTAGCACTGAATGGAGTGGGCCAAAATGAGCTCAAACCGCACAGGGCTATCCCATGCTTTCCTGAGAACGTTCATTATTTTGTAGAACAAATACCGTCAAAATATTTGAGCCTGCGCGTCGGGTGTCCATAGTTTAGTGGTCCACACGCCTGCTTTAACCAATACACATCTGGAAAACGCCAGGTACAGGGTTTGATTCGCCGCGGTGCCTGCCCTTCCCTCCAAGATGAGAGGCTGGTGGTGCCATGTAGCCCCAGCAGCTGAGTGCGCCATGAAGCCCCAATGCTGGGCCCGTAATCTCGGAGAGTAAGGAGAACTATGGCCTGGGTCGCAGTTTTCGTAAAATGTTACGGCGTTGGCCACTGCAAGTAACGCCAGAGGGTGTGCGCCGAGCGCGCAACGATGACCATCGTGAAATAATGCTTCCGAATGTCTTTCAAAATTGATTTGTACAGTTCAAAGATTACACTGAGCGAATCTTTTTTACAGCTTTGAGGTTGTCCTCTGGACAGATAAGCAGTTACCGCAAGACCACAAAAAGAAATGTTACCTTTGCTCTTGCAGTTCCACAACTAGATTCCAGCACCAATTCGCGAGTGGTAAAGACCAATGCACTATTGCCATCAATCTAAAAACCGCATAGGTGATATCTCTACCCCCGGTGAGATATCAGGTGATGGGGCATCCCCGGAATATCTTTAAATGCCATTTGGTGTCCGAAAGCCTTCAAAGATACTTGCGTCACTTTTTTCGTCCGCCTGTAGGCCACGGCCTAGTGAAGGAAACTGCGCGGCCTAGGCGATTCTTGGGAGGGTCCTTTCACTACCAGGGGGCCCTGTGCCCCCTTACCAAAGCTTTGTCTGCGCCCCTAGAAACGATCATACCGATTTTCAATATTTTTACGAAGCAGTGAATAGTGGCTCATTACTGGAAGTGCTTCGTAGACGGAAATGACAATATGCTCCTTCTTCCTTTGATATAAATCCCAATTGAGCGTTGAATGCCTCTACGTCATTTCTTGATGAGTGGTCAAGATATCTCAGCGTCAGCGCCAACAACCCTCGGGCTGCGCCAATAGTCCCTCGGTGCTGCGCCAACAGTCCCTCGGTGCTGCGCCAATAGTCCCTCGGCAACAGTCTCGGCATCGATGCTGCGCCAATAGTCCCTCGGTGCAGCGCCAATAGTCCCTCGGTGCTGCGCCAATAGTCCATCGGTGCCGTGCCAACAATCCCTCGGTGCTGCGCCAACAATCCCTCGGTGCCGCGCCAACAACTCCTCGGTGCTGCGCCAACAGTCCCTCGGTGCTGCGCCAACAATCCCTCGGTGCCGCGCCAACAACCCCTCGGTGCTGCGCCAACAACCCCTCGGTGCTGCGCCAACAGTCCCTCGGTGCTGCGCCAATAGTCTCTCGGTGCCGTGCCAACAATCCCTCGGTGCTGCCAACAATCCCTCGGTGCCCGCCAACAACCCATCGGTGCTGCGCCAACAACCCCTCGGTGCTGCGCCAACAGTCCCTCGGTGCCGGTGCGCGCCAACAACCCGTCGGTGCTGCGCCAACAGTCCC